AAAGGCTCCTATATGCATTTAGTCTGATACAGTAAGGAAGGGCTGAGATACTACAGGCCACTAAAAGACAGGTCAATACCCAGCAATGAAGAATTCCACAAGGATCTCAACCCAATCTGCTCTGTAAAACAGTGCTGCCCCCTTCCCGAGAGGATGCCCTTTAGAAGGGGGAGTCACCTTCTTTAAACCAGCCAGCTAATAATGTTTTTTTTGCTGGTGAATCAAAAATTAGGACATTTGTAATTTCCACTGATTATTTTTTCTGAAGATAAAAAGTGGAATCTATCAGGAAGGGAACAACCATCAAGAGAAGAAGAAAGAGCTTTGCATTGCCTTTTGTTCAGAAACTCCTGGCACAGGAGTATCATCTATTGCTTATTTCTTAAGCATGTGAAATGGGAACAGAAGGAACAGGATTAATATATCTGAATTTTTGGCCAGTGGATTAAATCAGCAATATGTTCAAAACTGACTACATCATTCATAGCCCCAATCCTATTCTCAGAATTATTCAAGAACTAAAGGAAATAACAACAACAACACTGGACTGATTTTCAAAGATGCTTACAACGCATCCAGTGATGGTGGTGCTCAGACTGGGCCGTTTATCTAGCTTGTGCTGCAGCCACACAACTTCCAGTCCATGAACTGACTTGCTCACTGTTATACTATGCTGCTATTTCACAATAAATGTAGCAGAAGGCTCCCAAAGGCCGAAATTATACTCAAGACGACTATTTAGGCTGCTAAATCATTCAGGCACTTTCGAAAGATTTACTCAGGTCTGTGAATCTAATTGCTCATCTAAGCTTGATTCAGCTCAATTTTAAAAATCAGCTAAATTGGTGCTAATGCTGACAACACTAAAAATGCTCTTAAACCAATTTAAGGTTAATTTGGTGATTTACCAACATAAAGGTTAAGCTGACTAAAAAGATTTTTTTATATAGAATTTTACAGAATTGCACTGGCTTAGCTATAATAGTAAAAATTAGTTTATTCAAACTTCTCTAATACTGACAAGCTTATAACTTTACTTAAGGTTAACGCTTCTCTAGACAAAAAAAGTCATAGAGGAAAATGACACCAATGAATACAGTTTTGGTTCTAGCACTGAGTTACTTGCATTTTTCAGGATCTTCAGTAAAGCGATCATCAGTAGAGAAACAAAACTCCTGTTTCCCTGACTTGAACAATCTTCTTGTAAGGAGTACAAGAAAGTATCCCTCTTGGATAAGAAATGCTGCTGTGAATAGGTCTAGACTTTACACAGCCATGGGTCACTAATTTAATTAGATTTCAAAGCAGCTATTCTACATTTACACTGAATACAATACTTCCTGTACCCTCCCTCATACTAAAAGGAATAAAACAATCCCCCAGAAGTTTACACCTCAATGCATGAGGAAACAACAACAAAGTGTACATACAATACCTTGAGTTACAGATGGGGTTTATATTGTTCAAGTTATTAGGAAAACCTTAACTACTTGCTAAGTTGGTATTTTTAGCAAGGAAAACAAAAGGTTTTCTCCTTTCTAGTGAGATAGGATTCTGTTTGACCTGCCCTGCTCCGAAAATGACTGCTGTCAGCCAACCTCAGTAACTTCCCCTCCTAATTATGAGCTTTTACACATATTACAAAATTACATCAAGCTTCTCTGTATGAATAAAAGAAATTTAAAAAATGAACTTTACTGGTAACAGTGGAAGTCCTTGCCTTCTATAAAAAATAGGTTTTGTGGGGGTTTTCTTGGGGGGGGAGGGGAGGGTAGAGCGAGGATAGGAGCCCTGCTGCTGTGTATCAGTCTTTGGTCTTCTGAGCTTTTCTCCTTTCAAATGAAAATGGGGGCTGCAATTTTCACAGGGTTCTTGTATCACATTTGTTACCCTGCGTTTCAGACTCTGCAAGGTTACTGCTCCCATAATTTGAGTGATCCAAAGCTGCACGGATTAGTTACTTGTGGAAATTGGGGGGTTTGCCCTCACTAAAAGCCACGAGGGAGTAACAAGCAACCAAGTTCATACGCTCTTCCAGGAGCTCACATAACATTTCAAAGAATTACACAAGATAGGAGCTGTTACTGAAAGTGAAACCACACTAATAGACAGGATCATTTGCCTCCAGTTTCACCATCTATAAATGACCTGAAAATACCTATTATTTGACACTATCATACTGCTACACATTTGTACTGTTATTCAGCAACATGTATGTAAAGGAAAAATGTCCTACGACAACTATATGAACAATCTATGCAAATAAGTTTGTTATTATTAACAACAGCCCACACATCTTACTCTGCTGAAGCAGAATACAAATTCAGTCTCTGGCCAGCTGTTACACACAAGTATACACCCTCTAATACTCCATTCTTTCACAGGAAAACCAGATGCCAGCTTGTATCATGCATGAAGGGCAGGGGCAGTTGTCAGGCTGTAATCAGGGATTCCTTTGGCTCTCACATATAAGCAAAACACTTAAGGTGTTGATTCCCTAAGCCGACAATAGAGTTAGTTCTTCTGTAGGCAGCTACAGCCTACTACCTTACACACTGCGTACACAGCGAGAGAGAGAATTTTGTGAAGAGTGGATATAATGATGCTAGTGCCAAAATTGCTGGCAAGTCCAGTGCTTGGATTTTGTGAGCAGCATTCCCGCTCTGTGTATGGCAAATTAACAGCAGTAAAAGGTGAAACACACTATAACCTATTTCTACAGTGCAGTATTTCTGGAAATAAAATGGCTACTAGGACATACAAATTTTTGATGCACGAATGAAGCTGAAATTATAATAGTCTCTTTACTCTCTCATGTTAGCTAGTGGTAATGGCAATGAAATAGAACTGAAACAATTACAGAACGTATGAAAATGGGCTTCTAAACATCCATTCCTCTTTCTGATCTCTTGAGTCATCTTTCTTTCTGATCTCATGATAAAACTGCTGGGCCAGAACACTTATTTGTCATCGTATAATGGAAATGAAAAGTCAGTCAATGTAAGATATCCAGCAATTTGTTATCAAATAAAAGGTTTAAAGAGAGCTGTTTTATGGCTTCTAATGAATTTCAGTGTATCAGCTTAGATATTTTAAAATCAGTGCTGTGATGAAAAAGCAGACTTTCATGGTATGAAAACTGAGAAAAAAATAAGTAGATATTTGAATGTAATTTAAAAATTGCCAGGACAGAGAGAACTGGTGATCCATGAAACGTCTAAACCCCAGACACAAACAAATTGCATACTCTCAAGTGCACGCGAAAAGAAAGGGGGTAAAGGGAAGTAACAAACAACATTCAAAGGTAAGCTCATTTTAATCTGGTTGTAAACAAAAGCCACAGGGGCAAAACTCCTTGCCCTGCTCCCCCAAAAGCTAGAAAGCAAGGCACAAAAAGTGAAAGTAGTGGGGAAAAAAGAGATCACAGGAAGGAACAATAATGTTGTAAAATGGAGGCGGAAAGAAACTAGATTTTATCTTTTCAAGAGCAGCGCTCTTTGCTGGTCACAGATGAAAGACGCTGATTTCATTAAAAGCAGTTTAAGTGAAAGAACAGGAAGGCACAACGAAGTACAACTAAGGGGTTAACAGAAGTTTGGGGAGGGGGTCCCTGTCCTAAGTAGGAACATAGCAAATAAAAAAACAATTATGATGTTATTTCCTCGATTATGGCCACTCCTGCTTTACAAAGTGCTAAATTGTAACAGCAAGCGCTGATGTGACCTTAGTATTAATTAGTAGGACAGAGCCCTCATCCAGTTACAGGGCAATATCCCTTGGCCCAGGGACACAAGAAAGAAGAACGGAGAAGATACAAGGAGCCAGAGAGAAAATCCAGCATTGTATTACTTCCAAAGTACCATCTTGAGACATTTGAGGATGGCCCCCAAAGGCCAGCGTCGGGGATCTGAGGCACACACATGCAGAGCCTCTTGATACTCAAAGAGAGCTTTAGCTGGGACTAGATAAATTGCCAGAGCTGTGATGAGAGTGCTGGAATCAGAGCTGTGGGATTTAACAGGAAGATGAAAGCCGTCCGTCACACATCCCTCCTTTTACCTTCTCCTACCCCACAGCACTGTGCCTGAACAGTGCCAGCTCAAAAACACATCTGCCACATGAGCACATTCCTGGCTATATCTATCTACAGTAGTGGCAAATACACATTTTTACTGCCTTTTCTTATTTTGTTTTTAAACCGCAGAGCTGCTTTATCTCCAGTCTAGCAGCAGTTCACCTGGAGATGGCCGACTAATTTGAACTCACCACGGACAAGTTGGTACAGGCGTTACAGAGTAGCATAGACCAGTAGGGACCACCAGAGAGAGAGAAGCTTGGTAGCAAATTCTAATTTATTCACAACACATGGAAGAATGCGTCAGCAAAGACTCTCAAAGTGAAGCACATTAATTCATTAAGCCTACTTAAGTTTTGTGGCTATTTTAAAATTAATAAGGTTGAGTAAACTAGTGCATCCAGACAAAAAGGCCCACATCCTCGAAAGCGCATTGTGGGTATGCTGAGAATTGTCTTTGTTGATGTGGATCTAAATGGATTTCAAGGTCTAATAATGAATCAGTGAGTTGAATACTGTTTCCCAGATTCCTATCTCTCTGTGATCAGGCTATTATAATGACCTGGGATTCGAAGAGTGTCTTCCACTGCATTATATTAGACCAAAGCTGGTATTAAAGAACTTTCAAAATGTGAAATTATGTGATAGTTGACTCACCACAGCAAGAACCATATAGTTGAACACTGCTGTTGTCTTTTTTACATACTTATGTAACCATATGCAAATTATACCAAGAACAGTAAAAGCAAAATAATAAAGCATGGTGGGTGTCAAACATTGTAACTTGCTGTTATCTTCCATGGTATGTGTTTATAAGAGATGCGTGGATCACTTTACAGTTAGCAAGAAGTTTGTGATGAGAAGAGAAATACTTTTGTCTCTCAAGTATCCAATAATATTTAAAAGTAAAGGAAAGTTAACATACCTGTTCCTTTACTGATCTTTTTTTCAGACTGTGCCACTTGTATAACCTCAGCAGCAGCATCCCTTACTACCAAATCTTCATTCTGCAGCAGTAGAACCACGCATTTCCACACAGCAAGGGTATCAGACAGTCCTATATTTATTTATGGAGAAAAATTAGAATTCTATTTCTTACATGCATTCAAAGAAGTTACAGAGCTCTGTTTCCACACCTAAACACAACAAATGCAGTGAAACACTGAAACATGGGCAGGAGAAATGCATTGGCAAACCACTGGGAAGACAACTGGCAGTATGATCAAAATGTTTTCAGCATGTGTGAACTTCATCTAGGTGGCTGACTCAGCTTGGTATAAACAGTGGGCAACAGATAAGAGAATGGACCTCTCTTAATCCAGGTTCAACTTTAAGTCGTGGGTGCTCTGAATTTTCTACAATTTCTAGGAGTGCAGAATTCCTGTTTTGCAACAACAAAAGTTTTGCCGCTGGAGATTGACCAACGCACTGCGATCATGGATTTGCTGTTGCAATCTGCCTGGAGCAGGGGCTGCCAAACCAAGTTTTGTTCAGATACTGCCAGTAGTGCTGGCCACAAATGCCATTCCCTGCAGGAAACGGCAAACGATCCCACCTCCCAGGGATCTACCCGTCACCTACTTCTCCCATACCCACCTCACCCCGCCACTCACCAATGTGCCCTGCCACCCTTATACCCGCTATCTGTTGGAAGCAAGCCAGGTTTAATCCATGGGGTAATTACCTGCACACAGTTAAGACTAATCAGAGATAACTGCCAAGAGGGAGGTGTTCATCTGGTAAACCCCAAACAGGCAGACTCCACATACCACCCCAGCGGCAATTCACATCTCGCAAGCCATACTCGACTTGCAAACCCTTGTGCCATTTAGTGGTGTCACACTAAGGATGACTAGCTAAAGTCACAAGGCTGTACTCATAGGTTTGCTGGGGTACTTTTCAGCCGTCTTTTCAGCTCTCGTTGAACATCCTCATTAAAGGAATCCACTGGAAGGTCTCTTTTAGGGGCAGCCAGCTGTTAGGTACTACTTTCTGGTAATCACAGAGAACAACAGAGTTGGTGCTTCATTGCTGCACTGGTTTTCTCTGAGCATGTTACCAACAGGTCTATCAGAGATTTGTTTTACAAGGCTAGCCAGACAATTAATTGTATTTCACTGCTTGGCCAAAATTAATTGCTTGAGGCTTTACTACACAGGCAGAAGAAGCATTCCTGTATTTCATATAACTTCCCTATGTGGGAATAGCATGGACTATAATTACTTCAGAAAGAAGTTGCTTTTTTCTAGCATGACACACTCAATAATGTTATAGTGTCACAGCTAGGGCAGAATAATTATTCCCTTCTAGATAGAATGGCCAGCTTTCCCACCTAGGCAAGTTTCTACCGTATCTCCAGAAGAGGTGGAAATCTGCAAATGGATTTTCCAGAAAGACTGTTTCTGAACCCTCAAGCAACACGATGGAGAGATGATGGGGTCATCCAGAACATACTGATTGGCATTCACCTTCTTCCTCTTATGAACGTACTTAATGGAAACTTATGGGAATGACTACAACTCCATTTCATACAACCACAATTTTCCTTAACTTCTATAACTTCTACTTTGTACTATATGTGGTCAAGCAAGCTGATGCAGGACAAGGCATAAAAGTCAAAGCTGTTTCTATGTGCATAACCCCTTTAAGGGAATGATTCTGGATTTATATCATTGCAACTAAACACCAGATCATGCCCTTGATTTGCTAAACTTCTCACTGCAGTACTTGACAATTTCACAGTTGTGAAGAACCCCAGACTGACAATTCTAGGTAGTATGGAGGGTCAGTACTGCATCCTTCTTCCCCAGGCCCAATTTTCAGAGCAAAGAATAGGTTCAGATAGTTTGCCCACTGAGGCCCTGGGGGCTTTTCTGTTGGGATTTGGTTTGGTTTGTTATTTTGCCTTTTTTTGTTAAAATTTTAAGCAGGATACAAACTGCTGCTGTTTTTTGTTTCAGACCTTCGCATCTGCCCGATTGGAAAGCATGGAAACCAGCAACTGTTCTGACAAGATCAAAGAGGAAACTCTGTTCTCCATCAGCGACGGACCGGATCCAAATGGCAACAGACGAGAAGCACAGCATTTGGGAGTTTTTCACTCCAATACCTCCCTGTCTTCATTTGATATAAAATGGTAATATCTGTCCTACTAAGAGCTTTAAGTAGATGGCAGAGGTCAAGATTTCCAGAGTTGATACTATGAACATTTAATAGTACAATGTCTACCTCATATAACAGATTTAGCTCTGTTAAATGTTATCAATACCTCTTAAAAGACACATCTCAAAATAAATAGCTGACTTTTTAAAAACACCACTATCTACAGTTTAAAAAATACTACCATTCTTCTTGTCTAACAAAAATTTGTATCCAGTCCATGTAAGTGGACTTAAGCTACTCAAACTAAAAACATTTACATAACCACATTGGAATAAAATATCACCTAAAAT